AAATAGAGATTGAGAAGGCAAAGGTTCAGGAGATGGGAAAAGAACGAGACAAAGAAATGAAGAGACTTGACAAGGAATGGGAGAAGGAGCACTTGGAGATATGTATTGATATCCTCAATTCCATATATTGGGTTAAAGTATTGTCTCCATCCTACTACTTCAACGCTACCCAATTGTTTCAAGTGGAGATATGGAGGAACACATTCCTTGCAATTCCTCCTGAGATCATAATTTACTGGCTTCATGGATTAAACAATGAACCATCAAACATGTGATTTGTTAATTCAGGGTTACTCACTTGCATATAATGAACTTCTAGAAATTTCTTTTTTGTATCTAACTGTGAATGCCAATCTACTGCTTTTATATGCACCACCTATCACTCGCTTGACTTTTACTATTATAGTCTACTAGTTGTATGAAACTGTAATCTCCGTTTAATTGTGCCCATGGTATTTATAATTTTACAGTTCTTCTTATAGCACTATATCCTATGGCTCCTTGTCAATGCCATCATAGTAGGGTTGATATTGATTCATCTTTGGATGACGATGCCATGATAGGCTACATTTTAACTCCCTGCCTATTACACTCTATCGTCCACAAACAAGAAGACAATGATGTATGACTTCTTTGAGCAAATATACATATATGTGGAAAAAAGTCCTCAGTGACTTAGAACACCCAAATAGATGTTATAATTCATTTAAGATGGAAGAACATTTCTTCAAAAACTTTGCAAACATGCTTAAGGCAAGGAGAGTGTTGAAGAGCACTCAAAATACCACCACTAGGGAGTCCCTTGCATTTCTTTGGCTTACAATTAGACATAGTGAGAGGAATCATATCATAGGTAAGCAATTCCATAATTCTTCATGGACCATCAATACACACATAAAGAAAGTTGTTATGCAATTTGAAAAATAGGGAAAGATATCCTAAGACCACATTCATTCACAAAAATCCATCCATTCATTAGAAGATCTGAGAAATATTACCCAATGTTCAAGGTAACTACAATGGTTAATTTATGCTATGGCATGCCTTTTCATATAAATTATTCTCACAATGTTGAAAATTGTGGTTAGGATTGTGTGGAGGTCATAGATGATACACATGTATCAATTAGTGTCCTAGTTGTTGAACAAATACCATATGGAGGGAGGAAGAAGAAAGTGTGTACATTAAATGTTTTAACCATTTGTGACTTTGATATATTGTTTACATTTATATACACGGGATGAGAAGGGTTGGCCCATAATTCAAGGATATTAGCAAAAGCTTCACCAAGCCAAAATGTGGGGGTTCCTTATACCTCCTCCAAGTGAACTAGACAATTCATCAAATTACCCTTTCTCATTTATCTTCACCATTTATATTCAAAAATATTAGAACTGAATGTAGGAAAATACTACCTTGCTAATTCTAGGTATCCTAATGCTTTTGGATTCCTTGCCTCTACTTTGGTGAACGGTACCATCTAAGACTAAACCTGGTAGGTTTAGATCAAAAGAGGACCTCTTCAATTTCATTCGTTCTCTGTTGCATAATGTCATTGAATGTTGCTTTGGCATATTGAAGGGTAAATTCCCTATATTAAAAAGTATCATGCTATGACTTGGCTTTTCAACAATTTCTTGCCATGTATGTTTTTTAATATACAACATAAAAAGAGAAACAATGAGGATCAACACATCAACCCATGCGAAGAGGATGATGATGAAGATATAAATGGTGATAATGGAGAACATATTGCTACAGCACCCAGTTCAGGTAGAGAAATGGATACAATTAGAGACCAAATTGCTTATAATCTATGGGAGAGACACCAAAGGTCAAACCAGCAATTTGCATGGTTTTATGGATACTAGTATAAATCCCTGTTATCAAAACATAAGAACAACACCACATGATTGTGTTCTAATGTGGACTACATAACCACTTGTATAGATTTATGCTATGTGGATTGAAATCTTTTAGTACTATGTTTTAATTATTCATGTGATTGTGGCATTTTTATGCTTATTTGTTATTTAATATGTTGGATGTTTATTATACAAATTGTTCATGTAAAAATGATTGATAGGATGTTTATACCAATTTGCTCTTATGGTAAAGGGAAGATGACACTACATATGGCATGAACATAAACTAATTATGGATAACGGTTTTTCCATTACCTAGTTAGAGGTGATCATAAGGGTTTCTTCATATAAGTAGATCAGTATGTTGGAATCCATCCTAGAGAACATTCGATTGAAGTCCTTCAACTTAGTCCATGTACTATAGGCAACCACAACATAACAACAGATATCTTTCTCTCATTGCTTGTTGTGGTAGGCTTGATGGATTTGCGAATCTTTCCAAGCTTCTCTTGACTGTTTATTCTCATATGTGGCATGTTGTCATAGGCACCCAAAAATAAAACCTATACTCCTAAAAATAAATGCAGTAGTGTGAGTAAGGATCGTTCCCGCAGAGAGTATTTAACCTAGTTTGTGTGCTGCGTGAATAAAGATGGAAGGGGGGTTTGTATGTAACGAAAAACAGAATTAAAAGAAAGAAAATCATAATTAAAAAGAACGAAATTCAAATGGGAAACAAGGCAATTCAGAGTGTTGAAATTAATCAAAAGAACGAATCTTGGTCGGAGTCAACATCCACCATCAAAATTTCACTACTACTCATCGATGCAAAGATAAATCAATTCAAACTTTGAATATTCATCGTAGGAATTATTTTCCTGTATCTCCCTATCATAGTTAATTAAAAAACAAGTGATCCTCTTAACCCTTACTACTGAACAACCCCTAAACAAGCGTTAAAGATTTAATCCAGCAATAGCCTTAAGCATTAAAGATTGATGAAGCTAAACAACACAAGCACAAGCGGTTGCATTTAATTCAGTCAAGTGTTCTTTCTAAGATCTAACAATTTCTGACGCAGCAAATCATTAAACCCTAGTTGCTTCGCAGATTAGAGGGATCAAACAATTATGGATCTGATATCTAATCTAGCAGTAGATTGCAACGAATAATAAACTAGTAGGCCTCCTAGCAATCAAACGAAACAATCATAAACATGAACATAGAAGAACATTCGATATTCAAAGCATAAATCAAACAATAAAAATCAAATTAGATCTCACAGTTTTGTTGATTCTGAGACTTCTGTTTCCTTCGACCAAGTATCAGAGCTTAGCCACGCATGGCCATGGTGAAAACTCAAGAAAAACCAGAGAAGAGAGAAGAGAAGAGAGGTGCAGCAGCCTTGGTCTGATTGTTTTCATTCTTGTTTTTCCTCTTCTTTTCTTTTTCTCTACTCCCCCCAAGAGAAGCCTACAAAGTCTCATAAAATTTCTCTAGATAACAGTTTCCAAGTCTGACTTATCAAGAAAAATATCAAAGATAAGATAAAACAAAGTTCTAATGTAAGTGGGAGAGTGGTGATTTCGCATATGAGAACGCTAAAGAATGTTTCCAGCACGTCAGCAGTGCGATTGCAACCATTTCGGGCCCGATTTCGACCTCGGTGAAGTCAGTATCTATCAAAACACAAAACATGAAAGTTGTACATCTTTTCCTTATCTTTCCAACGCATTTTGAATCATCTCAATCGGATTACAGATGAGAGAGTTATGCCTAAATTACAACGCAGTGCCGAAACTGTCTAGAATTACCCGATTAACCTTGTTTTTTACTTAACGACTCCTTTCGTGTCCTAAATCAAAATATAATAATAAAGAGTCCATTTAGACACTAAATAAGTATAAAAGACTAAATATTAAAGGATAAAATATGATAATTTTCATTTTCATCAATATGCAACATTCTACTTCTGATTTTGAAACCTAATGATTATAATGAGTGTACTGTTAGAAGGTTTATTTATTATTTCCTTTGTTTGTCTTCTTTCTTATTTTGATGTAATAAAGGAATTTCAAGTTCTTTTTTAACCACTATTTTTTTTTTCTTTTTGAGTAAGTTGTATATAGATTGAAATTGACCAGTATAATAATTATACTTGTGTTGATCCAACTGGAATATTATAGCTTGAATGTTTCAATTATCATTTAGGGGGCTTTTTTTCAAATTTTGAGAGAAGGGAAAGTTGGTCAATGGGATTTTGGTTCACATTGACCAAGAATCCCATGCATGTTCTTTTTTCAGATTTATGTAGGGATTAGGGAAAGTTTATTTTTCTGGGTATCACTTACCCATCTCCTAGGTGGATAAATAACTTTCCCACCTAGGGGGAAAGTTGCCAACACTTGAATGGGACAAAAATGCCCCTTTTAATAATGGATTTTTATGACTAAAATGATCATTGCCTTATTTACATCATTACATGAGAAATAAAATAACATGGGTAAATGCACTTACCCGGGTAAATGTTTCCCAAGAAAAACTTACCCAGGTAACTGCATTTACCTGGATAAACAACTTACCAAAAAGTGAACGGAGCCTTAAGAGGTCTTATATCCATTTTTCTTTGAATCAAATGGAGCCTATATAATAGAATGAGATTTGACAAGGGCACTTGAGTTGTTTAGGACTACTGACTGGCTATTTAACATTGGATTACGATCTGATACCAGAGAATTTCAATGCACAGAATGCTTGTTTGTTGATTCCATGGATGCTTTCAGTTTACAGGTGTTTAACAATAAAAGGGATTATCACATAAGTCACATAGGATGCTTTCTTCTAAGGGATTATGGCAATGGAATTCCATAAACAATATAATACCCTATCCAAGATTTGGAGACTCAGGTTAGATACAATCATAGTTTTGGGAACCAGTCAGGTGATCGGTTCTATTTTACCTTAGAACCGTTATTTCTCCAGAAACCATTGATTTAGTCAGCAAACTGTTGACCTAGGCGTTCAATCATTCAACAGTTTGGTTGTTGGATTTATCCCTTAAATTATCCTATCAAAATAAAGAGTAACACAAGATCTAAAAGCCAAACTAATCACAAAGCCTACTCTTAGCTCCAGCTGAGTTTTTAGAGTCTTGGTAAAGGGTTCTGTTTGGTGAATTCTCCTATCAAAATAAAGAGTCATGTTTGATGAATTGGATAACAGGAGAGAGAGAGAGAGAGTCAAATTTGTTATTGACATATGAAGACTGGTTTACCATTCCAATTAGACAACTAAAGAAAGAGACAAAAAGCTGCGTTGGAACTTGGAAACCCAAATTTGTTATTGTGGTGTGCCTTTATCCGGCGTTTGGTCTCATACTCCCACGTCTCTCTGTAAGTAACAGATCCGACATCACCACCAGAAATTGATATAGATGACCTCCGCCATCGACCCCAACTATTCTCCTTACGAAGTCGAAGACTGTCGGGGGGTTCTCCGACTCTACAGCGATGGCTCCATCGTCCGCTCCGATCAACCAAGCTTCGTCGTCCCCGTCCCCGACGACGGCTCCGTCTTTTGGAAAGATGTCCTCTTCGACCCCACCAACAACCTCCACCTCCAACTCTACAAGCCCGCTTCTCCCTCCCCCACCAAGCTCCCCGTCTTCTACTACATCCACGGTGGTGGCTTCTGCATAGGCGCACGCACTTGGCCCCACTGTCAAAGCTACTGCCTTCGCCTCGCTTCCCACCTTCAGGCCGTCGTCATCTCACCGGACTATCGCCTCGGTCCTGAGCACCGACTCCCAGCTGCCATCGATGACGGCTTCACGGCTGTCATGTGGCTCCAAGCTCAGGCGGTATCTGAGAATCCTGATCCTTGGTTGACAGGTGTTGCCGATTTTGGCCGAGTTTTCATCTCAGGTGACTCGGCCGGTGGAAACATTGCTCATAATTTAGCTGTTCGACTCGCCGACGGATCGGCCCAGTTGGCACCGCTCCGGATCCGCGGTTTTGTACTCTTGGCTCCGTTTTTTGGCGGAACCGTGCGGACGAGGTCCGAGGCAGAGGGACCCACAGAAGCTTTCTTGAACTTGGAGCTCATCGACAGGTATTCCGTATTTCTGTTCTATGTTTTTCCCTATGGACTCAAACGATCTCGACCGTCTATCTTCCGGGTTTCAAACTTGATCCACTAATTAGTAGGTCCCACCAGGGGATTCCACAATTTTTCTGCTTTGAGGCGTTTTCTCAGTAAACGGTTAGTATATGTTTGGCAATGAAATTGGCATCGACCAGAAAACGGTGCTGTTGATGTATAGGTTGGAAGTATCGTTTTTTATATTTTTGTTTGGAAGTTTCTACCAGGTAGAACGTATCTTGGAGTAACAGGTACGTTTTCTGTTTGATACCAATGACTTGAGAAATGTTTTTAGTATTGGTACTTATTATTCAGTGCCATGTTATGTCTTTATCACTGCCACCTCATGTTCTTATTGACAAACACCAAATTCAATATTGTTCTAATTCACGTTTTCTCAATTTCTAAAGCATGATTTAAAGCAATGATTTCAAACAAACAGACGTTTCCTAGAACATCATTTTTTCGGACATGATACTGATGTATTATTGTTTTCTGGAGCAATGGCATCCATGCCGACCAGCCGCTTGGTCTACTGTTGCTAGCACCGGTAGGAAAAACGAAAAATCACACCTTTCCGAATTCTGATTTCTAAAACGTTATTTTGAAAAATGATTAATTTTTGAAAATACGGATTTTAAATGTAAGGTTGATGTGACACCATTTTTTGAAAAATCGACATTATTAAACACGTGTACAGAATCAATGGTGGAGATCCTCTGGTTGTGTTCACTGTTCACCAATCTCAATATCCCTTGTGGGACCATGAATTATTGGATCACAATCATTGCATACCTGCCACGTGTTCATAATTAATAGATTGGATGGATGGCTTGTAACTTGTAATAATCAACTCACCATGAATAGGTACTGGAGGCTGTCTATCCCTGTTGGAGACAATGCAGATCACCCACTAGTGAACCCGTTCGGACCGGCTAGCCCTATTCTCGAACCGGTGGAATTCGGACCGGTTCTAGTGGTGGTTGGTAGCAGCGATTTGCTGAGGGACCGGATCGAGGACTACGCAAGGAGATTGAAGGAGTTGGGGAAGAAAGTAGAGTACGTCGAGTTCGAGGGAAAGCAACACGGATTCTTTACCATCGAACCCAACTCAGAAGCAGCAAACGAGTTGATGCGAGTCACCAAACGGTTCATTGCTCAGAACTCTGAGTAAGACCGAGTTTGTAATCCATGTTGCTGAACTGAACTGAATGACTTATTAATTTGTCTTTTAGTGAATAAAATAATTAAATAAAAAATTTTCAAGTATATAGTGATCAATCTAATTTCAGCTTCAGCCATTAAAGAACTCACAGATAAGCCATTCAGTTTCGGTTCAGCTACTTCAGCTGTTACCAAATGGTGAGAACAAATGAGTGTGGAAAATGAATATTAAATTTATCTAAATTTTCTTTTCCACACACGTTCTATGGATTAATGGCTCTTTTAATGGTCGTGGTCCCAAATGGTGAGAACAAATGAGTGTGGAAAATGAATATTAAATTTATCTAAATTTTCTTTTCCACACACGTTCTATGGATTAATGGCTCTTTTAATGGTCGTGGTCCTAGTATCTTTCAAATCAAGGAAAGTGTTGTAACCACCATTATGTGTGGTCATAATGGTTTGTTGGGATAGTATTGAGAGTGTTTGTTGGGAGTGGATCTGAACGTGCAAGTTTCATGTATCATGGATCCCAATCTTATGGTAAGATGTGAGTTTAGATTCGAGTTCACATCTGCACCCCACAAGGGGGCGCTCCACAACACATTCTCACCTTGTATTGGGAACATCTCCCTATATAACAAGTACTAGAAATGATGACACATCACTGGAAGATGTTTCCAATACAAGGTGGGGATGTGCTGTGAAGCATTATGGGGCGCAAATGTCAATTCTTCAGATTCATTCCCAACACTGTTGTAACAAAAAATTACAGTCACACATCAGGAACATCTCCCCATGAATGACCCAATGTGTGACTGTAGTAGACTGTTGGGACGGTGTTGGAAACATTTTATTAGTTGCAGATCCCACCCTTGGGTGTGGATACAAATCATGTTGATCAAACCGTGTTAGAATTATCTTTGTTGGAAGGATATTGTATCCACGTGAAATGCACTCATGGGCCTCTGTTGTACACTTGATAATAATTAGTTCAAATATGGTTACTGATGGGAGTAAAACCGACCTCCAGATAATTGAACATGTGGCAATCATAGAAAAGTTGCAGCCGGGTTGGAAGGATATTGTGGGGCGCAGATGTGAATTCTTCAGATTCATTCCCAACACTGTTGTAACAAAAAATTACAGTCACACATCGGGAACATCTCTCCATGAATGACCCAATGTGTGGCTGTAGTGGACTGTTGGGACGGTGTTGGAAACATTTTATTAGTTGCAGATCCCACCCTTGGGTGTGGATACAAATCATGTTGATGAAACCGTGTTAGAATTATCTTTGTTGGAAGGATATTTTATCCACGTGACATGCACTCATGGGCCTCTGTTTTACACTTGATAATAACTAATTAGTTCAAATATGGTTACTAATGGGAGTAAAACCGACCTCCAGATAATTGAACATGTGGCAATCATAGAAAAGTTGCAGCCTGGTTGGAAGGATATTGTGGGGCGCAGATGTGAATTCTTCAGATTCATTCCCAACACTGTTGTAATAAAAAATTACAGTCACACATCGGGAACACCTCCCCATGAATGACCCAATGTGTGGCTGTAGTGGACTGTTGGGACGGTGTTGGAAACATTTTATTAGTTGCAGATCCCACCCTTGGGTGCAGATACAAATCATGTTGATGAAACCGTATTAGAATTATCTTTGTTGGAAGGATATCGTATCCACGTGACATGCACTCATGGGCCTCTGTTTTACACTTGATAATAACTAATTAGTTCAAATATGGTTACTGATGGGAGTAAAACCAACCTCTAGATAATTGAACATGTGGCAATCATAGAAAAGTTGCAGCTTGGCCCGTAGACCAGGTATGTATTTGGTTCCGTTTATGTTTATTGAATAAACGTTTGTACTTTATTTGCTAGTAAAACCGAGAAATGCAATAATTGCAACCGTTTATGACAACTAGGTACCACTAAGCACCACATCAACATAACAGTGAATAAATGCCTAGTCATTTGTGGAAGCTTCAAAAAATAACTTCCACAAGCGGCTAGCATGCACATAAGCCAAAATTCACTTTTTACATTTTCGATGCATGCAGAAGAACAAGAGAGAGAAAATGCTGAGATGGCACCTATTGACACCACCAATAAACATTATCTGAATAAATGTAAACAGAACCAAACACCACTCGGGCTTGGGGTCATGGGCCCATCTCAAGGAATGAGCTACCCCAAGCTCCCGTGAAGCCCCAACCTGACAAAGACCTCAATGACTACCGAGTGACTCTCTACCTGGGAGTCTCTGCTCAGCAAGTTAGATCGAGTGACTCTAACTCTCCCCTCTTCTCAGCAAGAAATCCCTCTCTCTCTCTCTAGATCGAGTGACTCTCTACCCGGGAGTCTCTGCTCTCATCTCAACAACGAGAGAGCGCCTCACATTTTTCTTCACTCAACTCTCCCTCTTCCTTTGTTTTCTCTTCAAACTTCTGAAGAAACCCTCAAACCCCCCATTTAATTTGGGTCTCTTTCACTTACCCTCGACCTTTTCTTCCTAAGGTCCCTCTCATCCAACCTCCTCCCTTCCCTCCCTTCTCTTGGAATGGGTGCCCCCTATTTATAAGGAGAGGGAAGGGTGGTTTTTGCCAAATCCTAAAACAAATGGGGGTTTTGAAAGGTTAGGATTTAGAGGATAGGAAGGTTCCATAACTTGGGGTCCGAAGGGTAATTTTGTAATTTTAGCTTGGGGTAGTTTGGTAAGAAGGGCAATTTGGTAATATGGGGGTTTTGGGGGTTGTCTGGCAATTTGGGGTTTTAAGGGACAAATTTAGAAGGGTACTTAGGTAATTTGGTGAGTGAAGGCATTTTAGCTTTGGAGGGTATTATTATAATTTGAGGCTTGGGGGTAAATTGGTAATTTGGGATAAAAGGGTAATCAGGTAATTTTGAGGCAATTTGGTGATTTGGGGTCTAAAGGGGTAGATTAGGAAGGATAATTGGGTAATTTTGGTGAATAAGGGTATTTTGGTAATTTTGGTTAAAGGGCAATTCGGGAATTTGGGATGAAGGGTATTTTGGGAATTTGGTCAGGGGTATTTTGGAAGATTTGGAAAAAGGGGTAATTTGGGAATTAGGTTGTGGGTATTTTGGTAATTGGTCCAATGGGGGTACTTTGGGAATTTAGAAGAAGGGATAATTTGGTAATTAGGTTAGAGGTATTATGGTAATTGGTCTAAGGGGCATTTTAGTAATTTGGAAAGAGGGTAATTTTGGGAATCTGGTCAAGGGTGTTTTGGAAATTTGGTTAGGAGTATTTTGGTAATTTGGAAGGAGGGTAATTTTGGTATTTTGGAATGGAGGGTAATTCTGGTAATCTAGTTAAGGGTATTAGGTAGGTTCAATGATGGACTTTAGGGATTTGGGGGTTGAGATTTTGGTTCTTTGGATTCTTTTGGTTTCTGTAGGGTTTGGAATGGTTTGATCGGTATTCGAGTTTGACTTGGGGGTTTAGACAAAGGACCGAGCAAAAATCAGGTGCTAACAATAGGCGACCAAACACCTGACGAAGAATGTTTCCAAAAAGAAAACTTCCTTCACTTGAATCGAACCACCTTGACCTCAGAAGTGGGGGGCAATTGATGGGAGTAAAACCGACCTTTGGATATTTGAACACATGGTAGTCACAGAAAAAGCTGCAGCCTGGCCCGCAAACCAAACCCCGACGGCCTATCGCGATCTTGGGTCAATAGGAATCACCTTGGGGTCATGGGCCCACCTCATTATGTCCTGCATAACCCGAGGAAGAAGCTACCCCAAGCTCTCACAAAGTCCTGACCAGATGACGATCTCAAATGACTACCGAGCTATAGTCTAAGGAGGCAATTCCTACCAAGATGAACTGCCATAGGAGATGAGCACCGAACTCCACCACGTGTCCCGAAGGTGGGCTACCTGGCAACCCATGCAACAGAACTATCAACACATAAGATGGCCTCGTTAGTCAATGGGCCCCAGGCCCACAACATGCATTTGCAATTTGGCGAATAGGTCAGCTGAGCCTGATTACACCTGAGCACTAGGTGGCTTGATTGCTTGCTAGGTGGTTTGATTGCCTCCCAGGTGGTCCTGACTAAGCACCAGGTGGCCTAACTGGGTTCCAGGTGTCCTGACTGAGCCCTAGGTGTCCTGATCGGGTTCCAAGTGGCTTGACTCAGCTCCAAGTGTTCAAGGCCAAATACCAGGTGTCTTGAGGTACGACAAATGTCCTGCGCTCGCCCGACACGTATATTTTCAACATGTATTCGGAGCCTATATCCAATTCATACTTTATGACTCACTAAATTCTTACCTACCCGCTCTGGACAGCTCAACGACTAACTTGACCATCGGAGTTACAAGCCCGAGATATCACCCTGGGCCCTCTGACCTCATCTTCCCCCTTTGCAAGTGAACTTCGAGCTACTCTGAGGACCTTGCCAACTTTGATTTGCATAAGTTACACTGTTTTATCTTAATCTATACCACTATTAAAAAGTGGCAATACTTCTCCATGGTTTTTGGACTTTTCTTAACTAAAATGTCCCTCTCTATTTAAATAGCCTCTCTTCATAATAAGGCTACAAATTGTAAATCGAATACTACCCTTTATTTCATTCTATTCCTTCTCATTAAGTCACATATTTTAAGGTATTAACTCCCATTATCTCTCATTAAATCATGCATTTAAGGCATATTTGCTTCTAAATATTAAATTCTACTAAAATAAATACATGAACAATGATTTAAAATTATAAAAAAACAATATTTTAAATTGACCTAAAAATGAAACCTGTTTTTTTTTTTATGTGGTGGATAAGCAATTCAACCTTTTGAGTCAAACAAATCAATTCATAATGTCATAATTAAATACTAAAATTTTTAAAATAGAACAGAAAAAAGAAAATTTATAAAAAAATTTGGACACAACTCTAATAATATGTTGTCTTCATATTAAATAAAAATAAATGTGATAAATAAGAAGTATTTTTTTTATTAATGATGAAAATGAAATACAAAATTTTAAATTGACTTAAAAATGACACCTTTTTGAGTCGGATCCATGGTTCAACCATTCGGGTCAAATGGATCCGTCATTGATGTTTTAGTTAAATAAGAAATTTTAAAAATATAAATCATACAACAAATTATTGAAAATACAAAAAATAAAAAATTTGACACATCTTTAATATTATATACTAATCATATTAAGAAAGAATAAGTGTAATAACAAAAATTATTTTAAATGATGATATAAATGTAATGCAAATTTTAAAATTGATCTAAAAATGAAATCATTTTTCAATTTAGGTGGCAGGTCAACGGTTCGACCCTATGGATCAACCCAATGATGTCATAATTAAATAAACATTTAAAAAGATAGAAACATAAAAAATATAAATGTGAAAAATAATATATGTTATTTACCGATGAACAATGAAAAATTTAAAATTTCCCCAAAAGCAAAATGATTTTCCATCCCTATGGAGGGCTATCAATTAAACCATCTAGGTTAAATGGATTGGCTTATGATGTTATAATTAAATAATAAAAATTTAAGAATGTGCAAAAATACAAAATTTGTAAAAAAATATAAAAAATTTGTAGAAAAAGTATGATGACATATCTAACATTATATATTCATCATATTAAAAAATGCAATAAATAAAATTATTTTTATTATTGATAGAAACAAAATATAGAAATCAAGGAAAAAAATAGTACTAACGTCTAACATGTGACTCCACTACCAAGTTAAGTGGTTCGATTGTTCAATTAGCTAGTCACCATGTTGTTGATTGAATCAATGGTTTTTCTACATGCAAGCAACAACTTAGTGTTAAATGGACCCATGCTACTGAACAAGCAGTTCAATAGCATAATCTTGAATGACCAACTTTTTAATGTGCTTTGTAAGTTAATGCCTCGAGTAAGTAATTAGTCTTTAAATAATGTGCTTTATGATGGGTATTACTATTTTCATAATTTTCATCATTCTTGTTGTTAGGCTGTTAGCCCAATCTTGAAAATTATGATTTTCATAATTTTCATTATTTTGGGCTAAGTTATAACTATAGTGTTGTTTCTTTTTTTTTTTCCTTTTTTTGAGGTTCTTTGTTGCTCTTGGAAGATAAGTGTGTTTGTCTTTCTCTTGTAAATCTTCTATTTATGATTTAATGAAAGTGTTATTGATCAAAAAATAAAAATAAAAATAAAATATTTTTCGTCTTATTTGTCACGTGTCATATTTATGGGCATCAAATGTGGAATATATTTTGCCATATGTCACAAAAATTTTCACGTATGCATTTTATTGTCTTTATAACTTTATATATACATAGTAAACCCGCACAATTGCACCTTACTGCATTCTATGAAAAGCATATTTAGCCCAAAGTGTTAGCCAAAGCACAGAATAGCCCAAACTAACTTTGTGCTTTTTTGTTGCATATTAACTTTTGCTTTCAAGGAATCTACTTCCAAAAGTTCAAAGATCCAATACTTCCAAGTTCCACAACTACCCCAAGCTATAGAGGATGTTGCTAGTCAGTTTGTTACTAGCTAATAAAGATACATCCTTCAGATCTTTCAGATAACCAAGATGTTCTACAATCTGACCTTGCAACAGGAATCTAAAAATCATAAAAGTGAGATTCCCTAATAGTGGTGATAGCTTCTTCCCCCAATTTTCTACACTCAAATCTACTACCCACAACAATACTATCCACACCTACACATTGTAGATGCACATCTCTTGTGTGGCCATAATGTCTTGTGGATAGTGTAAGCAGCAGATCGATCCAAAGTCCAACTTTCCACCATTCTTACAACCATTTGCAGTTGTGCATTGGAAATATCTCCCTATGAATAAAAGCATACGAGTATGGAGATATTCCTAATACACGGTTGCAAATGGCTGTGAGGGCGATGTGAACATGGTCTTGTGAGGACTGAATCCTATCTCTTTTCCATCACCACACATAAAGCAGAAATTGAGAAATTTTGGATAATGAGGAAGCTTCTCAATTACTTTAGTGGCGGGGCAATTAGGTATTTAAAAATACATTACATCAGCATATAAGTATTTTTCGTCCATCTTACTAACGGAACATTTAATTGAGGTCGTTATTTAAGTGACATGTTAAAGTTTAGCGGGGGTATTTGGAAATTTTCATAATTTAAGTTGTAAAAGACCAAAGGGGGTGTTCTATAGTAGATATGAGAAATTGAGTGTCATGCACCATTAATAACTTCCCCCTTACCCCTTTTTCCCAAAGTGTTGGTTGGGGGATTCGATCCCGCATTAAAGCTGGAAGTCTGGAACAAACCAACTAATACACCAATGAGTCAACCCTTGGTTGGTCCTTTGGGCTCCATTTGAAAAATACAAATATGTAGAGCACAAAACCTTGTAGTTTGTATTATTTTGTATATATTTATACTTTAAATATTTGTATTTATACTCCTTCCAAACTGAAACTTCAAAACGATTTGTGCTTCAATATAGTTATTTTTAGGGTAAAATTTTAAAATTACCCTTATGGTTTAGCTAATTGACTAAGTGTACCCTTATTATTTGAAAATTAACTAACACTATCCTTACTATTTTTGACAATTGACTAACTCTACCCTTACCATTAGCTTCTGTTAATATTTTGTCAAAACTTATAGGCACATGACATATATTTTTTTAAAAACCCAATTTTACCCTCCACCTCTCTCTCTCCTTTCCCCATCGACCTCCTCTCTCTCTCTCTCTCTCCTTTACCCTAAACAAGGGAGATCCATCGCTGCTCTCCGCCGCTTGGTCCGACTAAAACACACAGGAAAAAAAGGACAACAGGGAAGATCCGTCGTTGCCCTCCACTGCTTGGTCTAGCTAAAACACACAAGAAAAAAAGGAGAACAAGGGAGATACGCCGCTGCTCTCCGTCGCTTGGTCTGGTTAAAACACATAGGAAAAAAGGAGAACAGGGGAGATCTGCCACTGCACTCCACTGGTGGTTGCCGCTGTTGTCGCTATTGCGGTTCCAAAAGTTCTAACGAAGAGAATGAGAGGGAGGGAGAGATCCGAGTAAGGAACCCAGATTTGAGTATCTCTCATATTCTCATATCTGCAAGGAACCTAGATCTGAGATATGAGAGATACTCAGATCTAAGATCTGGTCACCATCTGTCATTCCAGTAGTTCCAGCGAAGAGAATGAGAGGGAGAAGGAGAGATCCGAGTAAGGAACCTAGATATGAGATATGAGAGATACTTAGATCTAAGATCCGATCATCATTCGTCGTTCTGGTAGTTCTGGCGAAGAGAACGAGAGGGAGAGGGAGAGATCTGAGTAAGGAACCTAGATCTGAGAGATACTCAGATCTGAGATCCGATCACCATTCGCCATTCTAGCAGTTCCGACGAAGAGAATGAGAGGGAGAGGGAGAGATCCGAGTAAGGAACCCATATCTAAGTATATCTCAGATATGCAAGAAACCCAGATCCAGTCATCATCTGTCATTCTAACAGTTTTGATGAAGAGAATGAGAGGGAGAGGGAGAGATTCGAGTAATCTATAGTGGAGGGTAAAATAGTCTTTTTCATATCTCCGTTGATGCATGTTAATGATTAAGAAGGATTTAGTCAATTGTCAGAAACAATAGAGGTAGTGTTAGTCAATTTTCAAACAGTAAGGATACACTTAGTCAATTAGCTAGACGATAAGGGTAGTTTAAGAAATTTACCCTTATATTTATCATTTTCATGTTTGTTTCTAATGTTGCTCGATCCGAGGTAGTTCTTGAACCGAGGTCGTAGTTAGATAATCATGCCAATTGGGTGGAGACGAGGTGGAAGGATGAAGCCACGCTCCAAGATCTGAAACCAAGAAAGTAGTCAGAGGCCTGAGGAATTATCCTTGGGTAGGTACTCCGACGCTCAAGTCAGTCGAGAATAGTGGGAGGTCAGGCCGAGTAGTTAGAGAATGGTGCTCGTCCAAGCAGAGTAACAGTATGGAAGTCAAAAGTTGGGGTCCCCTGGTCGAATGAGGCTTTCGGGGTTGTTGGGATGAGGTTGCCTGCCAGGGTCTTCGGGATAAAGACCTAATCCCCAGCGGAGTTGTCCTCATTCATACGACAATTTCCCATCTTGGTCGCGCTTATCCAAATGACGTGGCCAAAGTGATAAGGCAGCTGTAGAGGTGACACGTGGCACCCAGGGCCAGCTCAACCATAACCCAATCAGTTTCTATCGAGTACCAAAAAAAAATGTTTGTTTGCATCAGCCCATCGAATCTCAAATAGACAATGACCTGTTATTGGGTTAGAGGGCAAAGTGTTGAAATCTAAAAGTTCAGGGGGCTAAATATTACCACTTCTAAGTATAGGGTAGCTATATGAATTTTCTTCTCTTTTCATCTTTTCCACCGATTTCAAAAATCAATATACAATAATACAAGAAAGCCTCTGCCATGTGCGTCCAAACGGTCTAGAAATTTGAATTCATGATCTCCTGACCGTTTATCCGGAACATTTTCTGCCGTCCGATGATAATTAGAGATGTTAAAGCCATTTTGACTATATTTTTTTTCAAACAATTCTCATTTCCCCCTTCGAGCGCGCTTTCCCATTCTATAATAGATCTTTCTTTCTTTGCTCAGCAACTCTAGAGTCTAGTCTAGTCATCAGCCCGTGCCCTAGATTTTTCTCCAATATCTTCTGCATTTGATCTTTTTCGCTCTAATCTCGCCTGCAAATCCGTTCCAAAAGCCCAACTTCCATTTTTTAGGGCTAATTTCTTGAATCGGAGAGGAAAAAATTCGTGAGAAAGGAAATGCCGATCATCTCAGAGGCAGCGAGCGCTATTAGAAGCCGGTTTAGGTTTCAGGAACACTCGGAATGTGATTCTGTCCGGAGTACCCCGAATATCTTGAAATCGGCATCTAAGGAGAATTTGTGTCACTCTATAGTAGCTAATTCAGCCATCCGAAGTATCAGCGGGAGGGAAGAACATAGCGTTAATGGAGCGGCAAGCCAGAGCTTCGAGTTGGAGGAAGACCCTTCTTTCTGGAAGGATCACAACGTCCAGGTATTCTGTTGATGCATTATTCTTAAAAGAGTCTATTATCCGATGACTCTCTTTAAGAGAAATCTGGACTCTGGATTTCACGTTTCGGTACCAACATCTGGAGTTTATTATGATTTTCTAATGGTTCATGAGAATTTGGTGGGAGCTCTGCTTCTTGCAAGAGTCTTGTATGTCTATGGAGACAGTTCCTGTATAAGATGACAAATGTAGCATTTTTGGTGTTATAATGAAACCCACTCATGCTTATTGTGGAATAATTAGCATCAGAAGGGAATTGGAGAAGCTTGGTATAAGTGTCAGACATGCAGGCTGGGCCAAGAATTAACGGGTTTTTTAGTAGGGAATATTATGAGCTTACATTGGTTTAAGTGGATCATACAATCTTTTCTGTTGTATTCTTTGGTTGATCTGTAGAGATACAGCAGAGGTTCTAGTTAATAATGCATCACATTTATAGTTCCAGTCAACCAAATCATGTGAGAATACGCCCTTTCTTTATTGGAAATCTAGTGAATGCATATTCTCTCTTTTTCTCTTTCTGTTGTCTTGATCAATTTATCTTATATATTTCCTTTGGTCCAACATGGGTATTGTGGCCTTCATTTATACTTAATGATAACTGTTTTAGATTCAGAACTCAGAAGTAGGATTATAAGAAAAAAGTCATCAAAGGGTTAGGGATAGACAACAACCAGAGGTTTCAATATCTTGTTTAGGAGTAAGAATACATGTAAATTAGCTCATTTATTGTTTAAATGTGAATTAAATAAAATAAACATTTTAGCAATAATCTGAAATGAAACATGTATGCACCTAGAAAGTATGAAATATGAAAAATTAGAGGTTTTCAAGGATATAGGTAATAATTCTAGAATAGTGTTTTGCATGATTTGGAAGTAATAAAATTTTAAGTTGAATACTAAGCCTTGTCCCAACTATATATGGAATCCTGTTTCATTATTCTATTCTATTCAGTGACATATCCATTGTAACATACCACCAGTTTTCCACATTGGGAAACAAATTTGCAAATAATGGAGAACACCTAGGAGGAATGTCATAAAATAATCTGATAATCTTGTGGGTGATCTATTGATGCCTTTATCATAGGAATCGTCACCAAACATTTTCATGAGGGTTGGTCCTTGATTTTTAATAGTTAATAACATTTGGGGCTTAGATGCTATGTGGAATTAGATCATTTTAATTTTTTTATAACATTTGAAGCTATAAGTTTTTTGTTAAAGTGGAAGTGCTATTAAAAATGCCAATAAGGAAGACAAATTTAGTACTTGAAATCCTAAACTGACCTCATTTCTATTTCAATCAAATGTCAATATCTCTATTATGTCTATTATCCGAATTTTAAAAAACCGACCTAGAGGCCAAATCGTTTTTGCCTTTTGGGTCACGGGTCACTGGTTCTACTGGTCGGGTCGAATGGGTCAGGTTGTGCCACATCAGCATATGTATATATGCATATATATATGTATATATATATATATGTATATATATATACATATATATATATATATATATATATATATATATGTATGCATATATGTATATGTGTGTGTGTAGGTATGTATAAACATGTATTTTATCAATAAAAATGTATAATGATTTGTTAGATGTAATATATGTATATATAAATATTATCTTATGTTTAATTTATATTTTTAAATTTTTATTTGTAAAAAATGCTAAAAAATGTGATTTGAGGCTCAAAAAAGGGGGTTTTGGCCTTCGAAAGTTTGCACATCCATTTACTATGCAACCCATGACTTGGTGACCGGGTCGGATGGTTTTTGGCTAGGTCAACGTTTTTTGACCAAATACCTGTTTTAGCAAAATTGGACCTAGAACCTAAGCCAGGTGACAGCTCGAATAGTTCAATTGGCCGAGTCAATGGTGGGTTGGAAACACTGCTATTATCACTTTGTTTTGTTAGTGTTTGTTCAAAAGGAAACAATGGAACATGTAATGTAATAAGATTGAAAGATTTATGGGTAGAAGAAACTTTGAAACAGAAGAAATGGATATATTCAAGTTTTAAGTAAAGGTTAGATGAGTTTGACAATAAATCCATAAAGTATCATTCATCCAAAATAAAGTAGAAAAAAAGAATTTGAGAAAGTAAACATGAAGATCTAGGTTAGGACTGAACTAGAGGCAAGCTTGATACTGAGATACTAATAATCCCAGTTGCTATAAAATAGTGCAGGCAAAACTACATAAAGTTAATATGTCTCTCTTCTTTTTTCCAGGTCATTTGTCACACCTGTGAAAAATAGAACAGGATTCCCAGTCTGAATCATAAATTAAGGAGGAGCATCCTAAATTGACCTAAGAGCATATCCATAAAGAGGAAAATCTAACTTGATGTTAGTGTTCACCAATCTATATACTAATCCTATAACATATCATGCTTATCGCTCATTTTATTTGAAAGATTCTCTTCTTTGTGCTTAAAATTTTATAAAAATGGAAATTAAAGGATAAATAATCAGGAATTGAGAATAAATGTTGGTATCTGCTCCAAGAGTTCTTAAGAAGGCAGTGATGGAACATGGCCGACTCAATCTCATGGCTTCTACTAGGTGTTATGTTATGTTTATATTTCTCAATCTAGTATAGTCAACATTGTTCTACACCTTCAGGAGTGCAAAATATATTTTTGTGATAAGACAATCTTATTGTCATGATTTTGAAGAAATGTTCATTCAATAACTTACCCAATCATGCCTTGGAAGGAATTTATCAAATGCTAGAAGAATCCCCCCTAAAAAAAGAAAGAACAGATATAGTTTTCTCATATTCAGTGTAGTTATTAATCAAATTTATTTATGTTTTATATCTTATGTGTATCAGGTTGTCATCCGGATACGTCCCCTTAGTAGTTCTGAAATATCCCTCCAAGGCTACAGCAAATGTGTTAGGCAGGAAAGCAGCCAAACAGTTACATGGATTGGGCATCCGGAATCTCGTTTCACCTTTGATCTTGTAGCTGGGGAGACAATTAGCCAGGTATTATTGGATTATTCTTCACCATTTACATCAATGTATGGGATCTGGATTCCAACAGGGACTCACTGAAGTTCATATCAGGAGAAGTTATTCAAAGTGGCTGGAGTGCCCATGGTGGAAAATTGCATGGGAGGCTATAACAGTTGCATGTTTGCATATGGCCAAGTGAGTTCCAACTTCCAACTCTCTTGATTTCCTTTTCCCCAGTCTTTCTGATTGTTTTTGGCTAGTTTCACATATTATTGTTGATGGCTAGGAAAAGCATTATATATGCCCTGTTAATTGTATACAGGGAGGAGAGTTTGTGTATATGAGTTTTTCCTCATAAACTGCTCAAATTTTTTAGTAAAAAAGTTACCTTGTAAGTTGTAAAATTAGAATGATGGTTCTTATGATACATGTATACATGCTTTCTGATCAACAGTTTTTGGATGTAGATACAGGAGAGATTTTGAATGTTTTGTTTAGTAAATATTACTTGTACTTGCAATACTTGTTTGGTTTGGTTCCATTCCATTTGTGCTACTTGTAAACTGTTATTTAAGCTTTTGTCCCTGCAGACTGGTAGTGGAAAGACTCACACAATGCTTGGAGACATAGAGGGAGGCACTCGAAGACCTAGTGTTAATTGCGGAATGACACCTAGAGTCTTTGAGTACTTATTTTCAAGGATCCAAAAGGTTAGTCCTTGTTATCTTTGGTATGCATTGAAGCCTTAACTAAATCCTCATTCATTTGTGGAATTGGAAGAACCCCTGTATATGAAATGACTTCTTATTGTTGTTTAAGTGATCATCCTGGTATTTCTTTTACAAATGGTAACAACCTTTTACATAACCGAACAGTGTTTTGGCAAAATATGCGTGAGACTTATTTGTTGATAAGAATTTATGTAGAGCTAACAATTAGAATCTTGTGTTTATATGTGTGTTTTCCTTTGAACCAAGGAGGGTATTAAAAAATCTAGTAATGATTTCTGAAAATCAAGTGCAATTTATTATTTCATTGCCTTTTATTTTTCTGATTATTTTGTGGTTTATTTATTTAAGATTAACTTGAATTCCAATAATATGTCTGTTGCATTTTGAAACTATTATTATTTCTTGTCTGCTAGACAGAAATAGTTGTTGCCATAACACCTAGGCATTGCCTAGCCACCTTAACTATTCTTTTGGTTTAATTTTTATTATTTTACATTTTAATGAATCAGCATGTAATTTCATGCTTCACTTGTGGTTTTACAGGAAAAGGAAACTCGTAGGGATGAAAAGCTGAGGTTTACTTGTAAATGCTCATTTTTGGAAATATACAATGAACAAATTCTTGATCTTTTGGACCCAACCTCTTTAAATTTACAGGTATTGATATTTTTTGAACATCTGTGGAGATTGTTTGTTAACACTCATCTGGATGATACTTCTATCTTAGCTTATTTTCTATTTCCATTTTAAATTATTGATGAATAATTTCCTTCTTATCTCATATGAATATTTTCTTCTTATTGAGTTATATTTTTCACAAGGTGTTTCAAGTCATGACTAATCTATGTGCTTAACTAATTATCTTTTCTTTCTGTATTAGCAAGCATTTTTCAAGTGTTTTGGTTGGAATTTGCAGATAAGAGAGGATGCAAAAAAGGGTATTTATGTGGAGAATCTAACAGAGTTGGAGGTTACAAGTGCTCAAGATGTTATTCAACAACTTGTTCAGGTGAATAGGCACTACTCTGCTTATAGACATTACTAGAGAGATTGCTTAATGCTTGGAATCATTTATCGTACAATATTGAGACTTTTTTGATGGGTTTTGTAAGTTGTATTGTATATTTATATATCTTTTCTCATCATCATCATTATTATTATTTTATTATCCATCCATAGTTGTAGCAATTGGCTCTTGTTACTGATATTGCATGTGTAGAATTATCATTGTTGAAGTGTAATCCTTGCATAGTTGCATGCCATGTTATTTTTTCCTGATCTCAGGATGTGAACAATGACTACATAGCTAAGTTTTTTTCTTCAGCGATACAACAGAAGTTACTTTTTATTTCTTAAAAATATCTTTGCACCTTTTACTTTTCAATATAATTTTCTTGGTATGCCTAACCATATACTTTGCTAGTCCTATCAAACATATGCCTGGTAAAATTCTGCAGAGCTATAGATAATTCTGCTGTGTATTATCATCGTGCCAATCATTTAAATCATTTATCCTAACCATTCATGAAAGAATATTGAAATAACCATGGTAGTTCTTTGACTGAAGGCTGTCATTATGCTTATGGTTTCAGGGAGCTGCAAACAGAAAGGTAGCTGCAACTAATATGAACCGTGCAAGTAGTCGTTCTCACAGCGTCTTCACTTGTGCCATTGAAAGTAAGGTGGGTATTAGGCTTTTTTGTTCTCTCTGTTGCTATTGATAAAAACACAGCTTCTATTATTTTTCCCTGAACCCTATCACGGTATTTGGGTTACAATGTTATAGAAGAGGATTTTCAAAACTTACTAACTGAGAGCTTGTTGCAGTGGGAATCCCAAGGTGTAACTCATCATAGATTTGCTCGGTTAAATCTTGTAGATCTGGCTGGTTCAGAGAGGTAAGTTATGCAACAATTAACTACAAAATAGAGGGTTCTACCCTGACATAAAGGATGAAAGGAAATCTCTCTTTTTTTCATTTGACAGAGGCTATTTTTATTTTATTTTTTGGTAAAAAAGGATACTTTTGTCTTCTAACTAATGTTTATAATATTCCAACCTCAGGCAGAAGAGCTCAGGTGCTGAAGGTGAACGTCTCAAGGAAGCCACTAACATCAACAAGTCCCTTTCAACATTGGGGTCTGTTTGTCACTTTTCATCTATTTGTCAACCTTTCTCTGATCTGCATTTGTTTGGCCAAGATCTAATTATATTATATTTTTCTCTTATTTTCCTTGGGATGGTGATTTTTCAAATGGGTTTATTCTTAATTTACAGACTTGTAATTATGAACCTTGTGAATATTTCCAATGGGAAGTCACTTCATGTTCCTTATCGGGATTCAAAGCTGACATTTTTGCTTCAGGTAGGGAGGTTTGATTCCATAAATAAGTACTAAAAGATCATGTTTGAGCTTCAATCAGTTGCCCTATAATTCATTTCCATATTCAGAAAGTAGAATATGCTCTTTAACTTCTTGGTACTTGCTATGGCATGAGATGTAGTGGAAATATCTAACATCCTATCTTTCTCTGTTTCCATATTTAGCATGTTCAAATCCTCACGGACCCCATCTGTATGCATTATGATCCCAAGTTTGCCTCTTAGAATCCATAGCTAGGCAATTGCATGATGATTTGGCTGACTTTATGAAAACAACTGAATAGCCACCGAAGATGGTCTGCTGCAGGTTGACCAAGACTTGTGGATAGCTTGAGCTGGACAAAATGTTTATGACTAGCTTAGCTTTAACACTATGAATTTAGACAAACAACTGTTTATGCTTTGCCATATATTACACTTGCTAAGATTTACAACCCTGTAATGAGAATGGAGCCAAAAGGGCTTCTTTCAAATCCTTAAAGAATGTTTGAAAAACCACTAAAGATGTTCTTGTTGATTGGTGCTGCATTGCTTGAGTGGATATTGCAAATATGCATGAGTAGCTCAGCTCTTAAGTTGTTGATGTTGGACAAGGTAGGAAGCCCTATGAATTTCAGATTTGGTGGTGGATAGTGTTTTAAAAGGCATCATGGCTAGACACAGGAGGCAAGGTGCACATCATTATGTGCCTTCCTTGAACCCAAGTGCAGCCCCTTTCAAAAGGCATGTGCTTAGTGCGCCTGGGTATGTGTGAAGTGCACCTTGTGCTTTATCAGTACACACCTTGTTAAATTTGTTTGTTGTTTTTGTGGATTCTTTTGTGTCTTACACTTTTGTTTCTTAACTTTTAAAATTAACAAAAGCAAAGCCTTTCAAATATACTTGAAGCCTTAGTCCTTGCAAATAATATCTTAAAATAGCAAAACTTTTACTAAAGAAACAACAAGGATACAACTAATATATGATCCCTAATCCTAAAATAGAATGAACTATGACTAAAGTCACAAAACTAATCTCTTTATATATATGGGCCAAAAATTTAGGTTGGGGGCCCAAAATCTTGTATTGACTTGTTTGGGCTTGTTGAGAGCTAATCTCCTAGGCTTAGGAATGCAAGATGTTTAATATCACACTAGCTACTTGAAGTAATGCAACTAGGAGATAAATAAATAGATTAAAGGTTTCACATGCTTGAATTGTTGAATGTTTGAAGCACTTTGGTACAATCCACTTGTTGTGTTTATGTATATTAGTTTGAGCCATTAGGATTTTTAAACCATTTAATTTCTTTTAAAATTCAAGTTTGCATTTTGTGTATTATTTTTCAATTTTATTTCTTTTTTTTTTTAATTTCAAAAAAATTGTGCCTTGCCTTAGTGCTAAAATGCTAGTGCTTTTTCTTGTGGAGCTAAGGATGAAGGATGAGGATGGGATGGAGAAGAATTAAATAAGAGCAGAGAACTTTCAAAAAAAGAACTCTTGCGGTTAGGGTAGATAGCAAGTACAATGGCTATTTGGATTCACTCAGCCAAACTTTATTTTTTTTCAACTCATCTAAATTGCAATTACAATGACTATTTATAGATAGGTTCTGTGATCTCAGATGTCCTTTTATAGACTCCAACTTGGACTTGGAAACTAGCCACAAAAAACTTCTAGTTGTTTTAAAACTAAGCCAAACCTGTAGGTAACCCATTAGGACACTCAAATGACTCTTAATTTTTAAGCAACTCCAATGACAATTTACCAATCCTATTGATGCTAATTAAAAAAACAAAAAATTATTAAAAAGAATAAGTAATAATTTTACTATAAATAGATTGATATACAGTAAATCTAAAAGTTATCTTGAATATCAATTTTGATTTATTACTAATAATACATTTCTAGAAGACTTGAGACCTTATTCTTAATTAACACTTACAAGTAGAACATAAACTTAAAAACTCAAAATATCAATATATCCCTACCACCCAAAAATTCATTAATTAGTGTATGAATTGGAAAACTGATTTATATTTCTCCATGGGTTCTTTTATTGCTTCCATTTTTGCATAACATGGATAAAACAAATATATATGACTAACTCAGCTAAAGTACTATTAATTTAGTCAAGCAATTATTTATGCCTTGCTATATTGCACTTACTAAGATTTAAAAACTTATAATGAGAAAAAGCTCAAAGATTTTCTTTCAAAGCCTTAAAGAGTGATTGAACAATCAATGGAGATGGTCTTGTTGATTGGAAATACATATTTTGAGTTGGACATAGCAAATATTTCATTTTCTATGGTTTAAAACCTTCTAATGAGAAAAAGCTCAAAGGGTTTCTTTCAAATACTTAAAGAGTGATTGAACAATCACTGGAGATGGTCTTATTGATTGGGAATGCATAATTTGAGTTGGACATAGCCAAATATGCATGAGTGGCTCAGCTTAAAAAGCACTTTTGAAGTCAACCAAGTAATGAGGATGTTATAAAATTATGCATTGCCTTGTCCAAGATTTGATTTTTGAAAACCTTTTAATGAAAATGAAGCCATAGAGTTTTCTTTTTTACCAAAGCATCAACTATATACCATAATTCAATTGCATCATTAATTATTAGGTCAATTCTTCGCCTAGGCTGACTAAGCATGGAAAATTGGTTAGTGACTAGTAACCACAAAGTCATTTTAAAGCTTTATTTCTTTGTATCTATATTTATTTGTAATGATATAGAATATGCCTATTTATTGTTATAGTACTGTTGTTGATTGAATTATGGTATATAAAATAGGAAAAGACCACTGACTAGTAAACTCTTTGCCACATTGATAACACTAATGTTTTGTGGGTTCATTATTTCTGAATTATCACATATAAAATAACTTGTTTCATGTTTAAACTTATTTTTCAGGATTCACTAGGAGGAAATTCGAAAACAATAATAATTGCAAATATAAGTCCATCTAACTGGTTAGTAACATCCTATTATTGCTACTTCCTCCCTCTTAATATTTTCCATACATTTTCCTGTGTTCCAATTAACATCTGTAGATGGATTTTGTTATCTTTGTTTTTTCAATAAGATTGGTTTGATCCTTGAACTTGACAAGATTCTTGGCTTTTTGGTAGCTGTTCGCTGGAGACACTAAGCACGCTAAAGTTTGCTCAACGTGCTAAGTTCATTAAAAACAATGTATGTAAACTGTACTTTGCCATTTTCTAGTTGCTTGTGGGTTAACATAAAAAGTTATTACTAGGGCAAGACAGAGGATGTTGTTCCCATGCTATATTTTGATTTTTGATTATGTAGTAGGGGTTTTGTTCACCATTTGGACAGCCAATGATGAAACTTCTTAGCTCTAAAAGTTTGATTACAAAGTAAATCTAATTTTGATTTTTTTTTTAATTTTCTTTCCCTTGGAATCTTCTTGGTGGGGTTCACTAAGTATAGCTACACCAAAAACTCTTCTAATTATTTATTTTCCAGGCAATTGTAAATGAAGATGCTTCCGGAGATGTCATTGCCATGCGCTTGCAGATTCAACAACTCAAGGTACTATGCAACTTGAAATATTTCACCTTCGAAGTTGTGGCATGTAGCATAACTTGGTAAAACCTAAACATGGGATGAGAACTTTTCTATACAATTTTGAATTTTCTGAAATTAATTCATACTTGACCTTCCTGAACTAACTTGGCTTGTGGGTTAGATGTACTATAGTGGTACTATGGTTCATGTTATCTTTATATATGTTGCTTGCATGCTTTCCTTTGTTTCCATTCTTTTTTCGTGCCTTATTAGGGAGTCTTAAATAATTGTAAATACTTGTCTTCTAATATAAATAGGCCTTTTGGTGTGGTATATTAAGTTACATTAGACCCCATAAGTTTATTATTCTCTTAAGAGTTTTTGCAACAATGCTTTTTTTTTCAACAACCAAGGGTAGCCAGCCAACCAGCCTAGGTTACACTACTTTGGTACTAGTGAGGCATCTACTTCTGGTGGAACAACTATTGGTGCATCTAAAACCTTATATTATTCTCTTAGAGTTTTTGCAACAATGCTTTTTTTTCAACAACCAAGGATGGCCAGCTAGCCTAGGTACACACTGCTTTGGTACTAGCGAGGCATCTACTTCTGGTGGTATAGGTGGTAGTGGGACAACTATTGGCACATCTAAAACCCTATAATTGGAGTAGGCTTCTTTTTTCTACTTCACTTCAATTGTAGGCTTATTCAATGACGATTGGGTTGGGTTACCCATGTGCTAGATGCTCAACTATAGGGTGGTGTATATTTCCTTAATGGTTCACTTATTTCTTGGAAATGTAAGGAACAATAGACTGTTCCAAGTCATCTCTTGAAGTTGAGTATCACGCCATATTTTCCTATAGTGATATTGTTTAACTTAGTCTTCTACCTTGTCATTTTTTTCAATGTCACATTTTTTATGCATACAATACTAGCAATATTGATATAACTACCAATCTAGTGTTCTATGAGATAAACACATTAAAGTGACAAGCCACTTTATATGTGATTCACATTTATTGGACTTATTACCCTTACTATTTGGAATCACATAGTTGGAATCTTTAGTAAGGCATTAAGGCTATGACTCATACTAGGGCATGAATTTTGACAAATTTATCTCTGGAGCCCAAGTTTGAAGGAGTTTGTAAAGCATAGAAAGGTTAGATGTATTTTGATAATATGAACTATGCTGATTGCAATATTTTAAAAGGCATTCCTAGGTCCACAAGTTAGGTAGGCATGCTTCTCCCTTAAACCCATGTTGATTGCAAGAAGAGGTTGAGGTGATTTTTTAACCAAATTAGATTGGTAGATAAGAAGGTTTTATTGGAAAAGAGTAACTGATAAATAATTCCAATTAAGTAAAATGTTGGGGCTTTCTTTCTTAGGAGATGAGGATTTTACAAGAAAAGCTTTTATGGAGTTGGAGAAAAGGGAGTGAGCTGCTGATGATCCATCTTTTGAATTTGTTGATACATTAGAATAGGACTAAAATTTTAATACGCTAGAAGCCTAGAATTGGTAGTGTGTTTTTGGGCTATTGTATTGTGGGGCTTTGGGCTTGCTTTAAGTATGTTAGTGAGGGTTGTTTAATTATCGTTTTTGATAGAGATTTTCTTTTATCAATTTTAGGATGTGAGGAGTTAAGAGTTAGCATGGAGTTTTTGTTTGTTATTATTTGGTTGTTATCCTTTTGATGATTTCTTATCACTTGCCTTGTTCATTTCTTTCTTAACAAAATTTTATCTTATTATAAAAAGACATTCTTGTGTGTTAGGTTGCCTTTTATTGGTGATTAGGGTTGACCATTTTGCTTGGGTCCACATTGTTGGCCCAACCCATCCTAAAAATTTTTTGGGGCCTGGGCAGAAGTTTCTTCCAAGCCCAACTTGACCTAGGCCAATCGAGCCTACACATAAACATAATGTAGGCTAGACTCAGATAGATTGGACTAGGCTAGAATTCGCTCCTTTTAATTAACTTACTTAAGCTCAGTTCGAAATGGGCTTTAGGCCCATTTAGTCACATAGCTCACTTTCCCTTTAAATGTTGGCTAGCTTGGCTCTCTTTGTATGGTGTTGGACCCTAGCATTGATCTACATATCAGCCACATGGGTTCAACCCAACCTCTGTTACAAGGCCTAGTCGAATTCACTACAGAACATAGTGAACCCCTGAGTCCATCAGTATGGACACTTAATGGGCCAACATTTACACTAAATGGTCCTTGGGACTGTGGGCAGATGTAAGATTAGCCCATCAGGTATTACCCTCAATGGTCTTACACTTAACCTCTCAGCCCATAATGATCAAACACTACCCAACAAGAGAGGACCTCTCCTTCGGCTGCAAGGTACAATGTTGCACTCTCTACTCACATGGATCCCGGGAATTAAAACCTTTTGCAAACATTTTGTGAAACCATAATATATAAGTATATCTCTATATAAATATATTTTGCAAACAAATTTCAATAAGTCTGAAATCAACTGCCGACAGTTTAGGTTTCCATCAGAGAGAGTGCATTCCCCGATCATTCACTTTGTCCGACAAAGGGGCTGATCCTGTCACTATTATTACTCACTCAGGTGAATTCTCGGACTGCCCCAACATACCCAGGTTTTGACCCCCGCTAAGGATCTCACTGATTGGCATATCAAAGATAGCCTAATCCGACACCTAGTGCAGTACCATAATCGAGTCTATGAGGGTTAGGTGTAACAATCCAGTTTTGCCCATCTGTCTCCAAGGTTCAGTGCAATACTGGAATTTGGTCTGGTTCAGGGTGCATGTGCCTCAGGTCTCACCCTGGCAGCTGAGACAAGCCACCCCAACCCACTTGGCGGCACATTAGTGTCAGCCTTGGCAGGATAAATCTCCCCAGATCTATCCAATGGCTGTGAAGATTCTAAACTAACACGAGTCTCATAAGTGTCTAGTTTAAGGGTATTACACAGAAACACACCAATATAACGCGAATCAATTATGTACTTTTAGTCATTTATAATAAATGCACCAGTACATTAATTTGATTGGAGCTAAGGGCATACATTGTCTAACAAATATAATTGATATAATATATATTATATGTAATATTTATAATTATAAATAACGTTTGTAGTATATGTGTCATAAAGTTATATATATATATATATATATATATATGTAATCATAAATATAAACTTAGATTTAAATTTTAATTTTCTTGAATATTGTTTTATTAATTTATGTGAGCAAATGCTTGGACTAAAAATGCTCTTACTACCCTATAAAAACCCGACCCAACCATGATCATCTCTATTGGTGATTACGCACAAGTAATGCATTGTTAACTTTTGAAAGAAATAAAAACAAAGAGCTTTTGAATACTTGAAGTGCTAGTTACTGTAAATAGGATCTTAGATAGCAAAATTTCAAATAACAAAGCAAAAACAATACATGCTGATCTCTAATCCCTAACCCTAAAATATATTGGGCTGTGATCAAAACAACAAAAGTAACCCCCTATGTTCATCAATTGTAAGCATATGATAGAATATGCACATTGTAGTTAATAACAATAGGATTTGAGGCCATTTGCCTTTGCAAAGGCCCCAACCTCCTAGGACCTAGGATTAGGAATACAAGACATCTGACGTCAAAACTAGCTACGTTTTTTTGGTAGACAAACTAGCTACTTGAAGTAATGCAACTAGGAGATTGACAAACATGTTGAGAATTTCACATGCTTAAATTGTTGAGTGTTTAAAGAACTTTAGTACAACCTACATATGTTTACTTTCATTTTGCCTCCACTATGAATTTCTTTGTGTTATGTTTATGCATTTTGATCTGAGTCAATACAGTTTTTTAAAAAAATTAATCTCTTTTAAAGTTCAGGTTTTCATATTTTATGTACTAATGTTTTTTATTTTTTAGATTTTTTTTAAAAAGTTGTGCCTTGCTCCGTGTGGGTGTGCGCCTTGCTCAATTTGGGTGCTAGAAGACCCCCTTTCCCTTTTCTTGCACCTTTTCTTTTAGAACACTGGTTGTATGCTAACATTGCGCTTGTAAGCTCTACTTATTTTCTTTATTTTCTGTTTGGTCCCTTGTTAGGGATTCTTTTATAATTGCAAATATATCCCTTCTAATATAAATGGGCATTGTTTTAGGGGGGGGGTTGAACATTGAACACTGCCTTCTTGAACAACCTAGGACCCTTTACCAGCCTAGGTTAAGGTTTAAAAAGATCTCTTCATGTTTTTCTTTCTTTTCCTTTCTTTCTTTTTGTAGCACAACAAAAATTCAAAGTTTTCTTTAAATAATATTATGTTGCTTGACTTGCTTCTGAATTTCATATCACCTAATATTTCTACATTAATATTTTTAAGCAATTTGTTTGTTTTAATAAATTATTGATTACCAGTTTATGGAATTATCAGAACAATAAAGACTAATATACAAACATGTTGAGTTTTACGTCAGAAAGAAGTAAGCCGTCTGCAAGGTTTAGTCAATGGAGGGTCTGAGAATCAGGAGAATAATAACTGGACAGTGAGCTTTCCAGGATCTCCAGGCTGCTTTAAGTGGGAAGGGCTTCAGGGATCATTCAGTCCACTCACATCTGACAAAAGAATGTCTCAGGTATCTTCTTTTATTTCCTAAGCTTGTAAAAATCCATCTAATCTGTTTATTATTTAATTTATTAATTGTTTGCATATTCAGAAGAAAGAATATGAAGCTGCACTTGTTGGAGCTTTTAGGAGGGAAAAGGATAAAGACATTGCATTGCAGGCGTTGGCTGCTGAAAATCAGGCAGCTATGCAACTGGTAAGAGCAAGAAAATCACTTGTTTTTGGATGCTACAAGAAACATTATGTGGGGGGCTGCTGCTCATACATCTAATAAAGTTTGTTTCTTTATCTATAATAATAAAATGCCCCTCCCCCCAAAGTGGGATAGGTGAACTCACTAGAAGTTATTAATTAAATGTCAAAGAAGAAAAATAAACCTTCACTGTAAATTATCCATAAATAATTTCAGTTACTAGAGTGAATTATTGGTCTCCACCTTTACCTCCAGCCTGTATATAGAAGTACTTTTTTTCCTTCGATAACTATATATAGAAATATCATTATACTATGATAAGCTAATATAAAAAGGAAAGAAGAAGGAAAACAAAGGAATGTATGTTACCCATATATGGAAAGGATGATGCGTATATGGAATTAATAGATAATTGAAGCATCTGACACAGATACAATGTTCATTTTGAAGTCATTTCATTATGCTAGTTTGCTTTCGTACTTAATAATCCCTCTTTATTAAGGACATCACTTGAAACCACCTGACACCTATTTGCACTTAATAATCCCTTCTGACACCAAAACAAAAACCTGAATGGTATTTTTAGGCACATGTAAATGTGACCCTAACATGAGATTTTGTCATTGTTTTTATGTTAATGTTGAAAACATGAGATTTGCCATTGTTTTAATGTTAATGTTGAATTCTTGGGATTTTTGTTGTGAATCAGGCTAAACAAAGAGAAGATGAGATACAGGGATTGAAAATGAGGCTTCGATTCCGTGAAGCAGGAATAAAGAGGTTGGAGGCAGTTGCTTCTGGTAAAATCTCAGCTGAGACACATCTTTTGCAAGAAAAGGAGGAACACTTGAAAGAGATAGAGGTTCTTCGCACCCAATTGGATCGGAATCAAGAAGTCACGAGATTTGCCATGGAAAATCTGCGTCTAAAAGAAGAACTTAGAAGGCATGTGCTTCTCTTCTTTCTGGTCTGAATCCTTTATTCATTACTTCAAGTTTCCTTCTGTATTATCTCTGTAATATCTAGCTAGCCTATAATGGAAAGGAAAAGCTTACATCTGTTTTCTTGCAGCAGTACATAACATGAGATCTTGTCCGGGCATGGAAACCTTTTCACTCAAAATTGCATATAATGCTAACGACTACTTTGAAATATCAAAAACATAAGATGAAAAATAGGCATTGCCCAATTCTGGTCACAACCATTTGGGGCCTTTGGTTGGGTGGACTGGATACAGAATTACAGACCTAACCTTTGGCACTTTTTGCACAAAGACTCAAACTAGATCCCAAGTTCGCATACTTGCCCAAGATTTACCATTACACCAAGCAATGGACCCTAAAACGGAAATTAAAAATGTAGACAAATGCTAAAGGAAATTGTAAGTATAGAAAGAAAAGAATTTATTGATTAAATTTTGGTTAAATTGTTGACCTATAGCAACAAATATTAGTTCAGGTGTCTTTGTGGATTAAGTTGATCTCATCTCTAGCATTGTTGTATTGCCAAGGTGATAAGACATTTTTTTTGGTAGTTGTTTTGTTGCTAAAGCTTTTTATTTGATGGTTTACAAATTTTAGGTGGGGTGTAGTTAAATCAATATCATATTATCTTGTTATATAGACAAGGATAAAAGAGTGTAGAAGGCATTAATGAATCAATTTTCAATTAATATATCTATAAAATGGGTTTGTGCAAACCATAATGGTAGGTATTTATATCTAGTAGCTTGCATCTTCTATTTCTCTATCAATTTCTCTAAACAAAAACAGAATATCATCTCTCCGCATGTTTTTTAATATAGGAGTTCTACCTCTTCATTTTTTTGATGAGGCAAAAAAATGTGTGAATGTATTCTGTTTTGCATGTTTTTTTTATTGTAGGATCCCAAATTGTTGCTTTTGGGGAGCTTTGTTGACAGTTTGGCCAGGGGCAGTTGGGTGCATATCTGTTGGATTTTGGTCCCTTGGGTCTTTTTGCAACAAAAGTTATCTTTTGAGCGTTCATTTGAAGTTAGTTTTGTTCTTAAGGAGTTGCTTGTGAGAGGGAAACATTCTAGAGGCTTATGTGTAAATACTTTAACTGGCTTGTCCAGCAAGCCAGTGAGTCTTATAAAAGAGAAGGGGGCTGTTTCTGTAGGGGTCTTTTTGGTTCTTTCTCTCTTGTTTGAACTGTAGCTCAGCCCCAGTTAGGGTTTCAAGTATTGGGAGCTTGGGTTTTGAGGAGTCGACCCATTTTGGCACCTTCCAATCCTATTGCTGCGTGTCCGCGCGGGAGGCCAGCTTGTTGACATTGTTACTGTAGTGGAACTGTTCCGTGAGGAGTTTTACTTCAGGTTCAGGTCTGAAATCCCTAAACATCCAACTTGTTTGTTGTTTTCAGCTTGGTATTTCTTGCGTTTATTGCTGTATACTTGAGGTACTGCATGTAATTTGTCTTTCTGTCCACATCATTTTTCCTCTAATCACTGCTCTCCATCTAATTGGGACAACCCTTCTTTATTGTTTTCTGAATAGGGGCTTTGTCACTTTCCACCCTCTAAAGTTTTTTTTATATACTATATAATTAATGCTGTTTGCATTCTACTTTTAATGTTAAATTTATTCATTTTAGTTCACTTTTAATGTTTGCTGGTTGCTACTTCAATTAGGAAAATTACTTCTAAAATAGCTAGAGAAGCAAGCTAAATTAACCACACTGGACTCCCATCACATAGCCTGACCTTAATGCCAGATCTCTAATTGATTTGGCAAGCCTGTGGAGCACAGAAACTCAGGTCGTAAAACCTTCATTACTGACTCATTCAGCATTTCAGATTAAAGTCTTTCGTTGAGGAGGGAGAACGGGAGATGATGAGCGAACAAATCACAATATTGCAGAGCAAGGTACAAGTTGATCTTATGTTAGGGCTAGTATTTTTGTTCTTTTTCTTTCTAGTTCTTTCTATTTGCATGTGTATGTTCATTGAAGTACTCCGCAAAATTTTAGTTACTTGAAGCATTGGATTGGAAACTTATGCATGAAGCAGATCTCGAGACAGTTCAGGTAAATTTGTGCTTCCCTAAATGTTCTCAGATCTATGTTCTGTGTTAAACTATGTATTTTATCCTAAATTTCTGGTTTTGTGTTTTAGAAAGGAACTTTCGATTTGGCAACCATTTCTAATGGCGAGGATAATCTTCTGATTTCCAGTCAGGTAAGATTAATAAGATTTCCTGTATCTGAAAGGATAGCAAGCTACTTTTATTTCATTAGGGTAACTGAATTTTAAGCCCATTTTAATGATTAAAGCATTATGGGTCATTTTCTCTGTTTCCCTTCATGGAGTTGGTCATCTAACTAAGCATTCTTTAAGATCTTTTCCACCTTCAAATCTTCTAAATCTTTGAGAAAATTGTTTTCGGCAGTCATAGTTGCAAATGTATGGAAACCTAGTAAAATCTATAGAACTATTATCTCAGATACAGTTGCAATTAAGAAATTTAGATTCCATAGTACAGATGTGCCTAAGTCATAAAAGTGATCTCAGGAACAATATATACTGCAAGACTGTTGTCTTCTCCAAGTAACAGCTAAAGGATGCTTTCTAGGAGAAGCATTTGAACAACTCGCTTGGCAAAATTTGACAAGCATTGAATTTTACTATCTCTTCCTCTGCAATCCACATACCCTTCAACAATAAGAAATTATGGTAAATACCATTTTCATGCATACCAACACAACACATGAAGCATGCCAAGGGTATAGTGGAACTAATAGATTGATGGCATTAGTTATGGCCTTCTGTCATCAATATATTGGGGATTTCTGGTAAGGTTTGGGACTGTAAACTAGCTACCAAGTAAGATCAGTGATTTAAAAGGCACGCCTAGGCGCACAAGCGAGGCACATACTAAAATGCGCCTTGCCTAGGTCCTAAGCGCAGCCCTTTCAAAGGTGTATGCTTGGTGTGCCTAGGTGTACGTCTGATGTGCCTTGCGCCTCAGCCCAGGCATGCGCCTTTTGAAAATTCCACGCTTTTTTGCTTTTTTTTTTGAACCTAGCGGTTGGGCCAGGGGCTCCGCTCCAAGAACCCCCTGTTTGCTAATGTTGTTCATTCATTCATCCTAATAAAATATCTTCTTAAAAAGCAATTAATATTTATAAAATCATTATTTTTGTGTGAGAACTAAGAATTTAAGGCCCCAACATCGACTTGTTTGGGCTTGCCTCGAGGGGCGTGGCACAAAGGCAGCTCGTAGAATCAGGAATTTAGTATGTTTTACATCACATTAGCTACTTGAAGTAATGCAATTGAGGAAAAAAAGAGATTGTGGGTTTTACATGCTTGAAAATGTTTTATATGTTTGATTTTATTTTTAAATTTTCACTTGAATACGCTTTACATGTTATGTTTATGTATTTTAAATTTAGATAGTAAGTTTTAAAAAAATTATTTTAAAATTTAAATTTATATTTTTATTAATATTTTTTTATTTTTTGCAATTTTTTTATTTTGTTTGGCATTTGTTTGAATTTTCTGACATTTTTTTTTATTTTAGCTTTTTTTTTTGTATTTTTGTGCCTTGCTTCAAAAAGGCATGTGCCTTGGGTGCAAATTGGCCTGGGCTTTTTTTGCGCCTTGTGCTTTTAAAACACTGAGTAAGATTCTGCAGTTCTTGGCTTCTTTTCTTTAACCTCTAACAATGACCAAGATTTGGTGAATCTTTCATTTCAATATGATCTTGATTGGATTATAATATTCTCACTCCATTCATTATATTTGTCTTTTATTTATTTATTTATTTTTATTTTGCACTAAGCTGTATGCTTACAATTATTTTGATCAAACCATGTCTTCCTACCTGAAAAATTGGGGCGTTGTACCACAAATTGCAGAGATTGCAACAACTTTTTCTTTGAACTTAGCTTCATATTGGGAGTTAATGCTATTGTTTATTTGCACTTTATAGATTAAGTAAGCCTATATAAGAGGTCTTCCTAGAAAAAAAATAATAAAAAAAGGCTTGCAAAAATGATCTAGATGACCAATGCATTTTCCACTTGGCAACTTTTAGGCAATGCAGGCTCTCTATACTCTTGTAGTAACTTTTAAGCTCAGTCCTCTTTCCATGTGATAAAGGAGCCCAGATTCAAATTTGTTTTATCTTCAGTTGGACATGGGCTGGATGGGAATAGTCTCTTAACAAGTGATTAAGCCAGAGCAAGTGATCAATCATCAGAAAATCAATTCCTGAGCTAATTTTTTTATGCAATTGAGTTGCTGCATGCCACGGACTGCATGAAACATGGTGTTTTCAATTTTCTAACTGACATCTTTGCAATTTATCCTGTGAACTCATCTAACTACCTTGTGCTAAACGATATATAACCAGAAAAAGCTTATGCACCAATAATAAGGTTAGCAAGGGGAAAAACCTAAAATCAGAAGGAATTCTTAGTATTGTAATTCAGCTACATATGAAAATCTATATGTAATTTTTGTGCTTCAGTAATAATCCTTTCGTGTTTCAACACAGAATCCAACATCTTGGCATTCTTCAATGAATGAGGAGAATGAGTTTCTCCGCATGCAGGTAAGACTGTTTGTTCAAAATGTATTCTATATTTTTCAACTTGAAACTTGGAATCCAACTTGTCGTTTGTCACTTGGATTTTCACAGGCTATTCAGAACCAAAGTGAACTGGATGCACTTTGCAAGAAGCTAAACTCCTGCCTTGATGAGAAAGGACAATTGGAGAGGTATTATTCTAATAATTTAATTATTTCTGCATTTCCTTGTATGAAGATGCCCTGAGCAGCTTATAATGCCATGCTTGAAACAACCTGAGCCATGATATATTTCCTCAAGATGATCTTATTTAGCATGGTAATAGGGAATCCTTGATTTTCTTGAAGACTGCGGAACCCAAATTGTTTATTTTGTTATTTTTTTGAAGTCTATGGTTTTCAAGAGACCAAACTATTCTTTTCCACTTTAAATCTTAACTACACATTTCTTAGTTTTGAAGCATCAAGTCAAACTGTAACAGGGCCAGAAAAGAATTGAAGGTTCTATCCATCAATTTGAGATTCTTAACTTAAGAGAAGAATTAGATATTGCAGCTCTGCCACTGTCACCTGATTTAATTTTGAATACCGTTCAGGATCCCTTCACTTGTAAATAGGAGTTGTTGCTCATTGAATCTGCTGGCTTTAATTGAATAACAATGTTTTCTAACTTGGCCTATTTAAAATTTGGAATTTCAAAAATGAGAACACTGGATTCCACTTATTTATCAAAAAAAAAAAAAAACAATGGCATTCCACTTCCACTTACAAAGAACATCTGGAATTGTACAGAAGTGGAAATGCTGGAACACCATCTGACATTTTTCTTTGCCAAAGTGGCCTAAGGAACTAGATGGTTTTGATCTTTTTTAATCCATTAGTCCCAAGTTGGGAGAATTATAATGGAACATTGAAGAATGGATAAATGGTTAGTACTTTGTGTCCTATTAGTATTTTCCTTTACCCAAAGATATCTATCGTGACCCTCAATAAATCTAACTTGTCCTTTGATAAGATATCATGCTCGACTTTTCTCAAAAAATAGCAGTTTTGTTTTCATGTGCTTGAAATGCATTTTTTATGCTTTGCTTGCTACAAATTTTTTATGCTTGCTTTTTGCACAACTTTGTCAGGCGTGTTAATGAGTTGAAACAAGAACTTGAAGACGTGAAGAATACTTCAGGAGCAATGAATGGAGTTACAGGGCAACAAGTACAAATTGAACTTCCTTCTCTTCATTTTGCAGCACCTGATCATATGTCCAATGTCACATTAAATGATCAGATGGAGCTTAAAACCATGGTCGATGCAATTGCCTCTGCAAGTCAACGAGAAGCAGAAGCTCATGAAACAGCAATAATTTTGGCCAAAGAGAATGATGAGCTTAGGATGAGGCTGAAAATCCTAATTGATGATAACAATAAACTGATCGAACTATATGAACATGCTGCAGAAGAAGCTAATAAAGACAACAGAAAGGCTGGAAACACACAGGTAGACACCACTGATGATCACAATTGCAGTTCAATGGGCTTTCCTGAGGAAAGAGATACTGACAGGATGAGAGAGATTGAACATCTGGAAAGACAACTTCAAGAAATGCATGAAGAAAATGAGAAACTGATGGGTTTGTATGAGAAAGCCATGCAGGAGAGGGATGAACTCAAAAGAATGCTTTGTTTCAACAGGCAGAACAGTGATACCGAAGAGATAGAAGAGTTTAATTGCCCAGAAAAGCTTGTTGAAGTAGATGGAGGTGAAGGCCTCAATTTGGATGAACTTCCTTCTAAATCTGATGATGCAAAAGTTTCAAGAGAACAGATAGGTTTTTCTGGATTGACTGAGCAATATGAATCTGGCCCATGTCTAGAAAATTCATTAACAGATGAAGGAAATCCAACTGAAGTACTACAAGTTGATATTGCCGATAATTCTGAGGTGGAAGGAAGGTTATCAGGAGTCACTGATTCTAAAATATTAGATGATCTAAATTTGGCAAGAATGAAGCTGGAGAAGGCTGAAAATAAGCTTGTGCATGCTTCAAATGCTCTGGGTTTATTTGGGTTGTATGACAAAGCAACCAGTGAGGTGGATGAGCTCTCAAGAAAAATTGAAGCTACAGAGAAAATTATTCAAGTCAAGCAGCAAGAGATTGTAAATCTCTCTTCTGAAATGCTAGAAAGAAGAGTAGTTGTTGATGACAAATTATTGGCTATGAAGTCTTCTCTATCAAGCTTTTCTTCATCAGTTGGTTATTGGGAGCAGCAAGAAATTCAAGCAAGGGCAGACATGGATGCTTTCTCCTCTAACATAAATCAAAAGAAAGAGGAGCTAGCTCGTCTTCAAGCACAAAAGGATGAACTTGAGGCTAAGAAGATTAAGCTTCAAAAATATGATGTTGAACTAAGAAATAAACGTCTCTTATTAAAATCAAAACTTGAGGAGGAACAGCAAAGGCAAGAGACAGAGAAGGTGCTGCTTGCGATAGATAATGTGGAGAAAAAAGAGATTACCACACAAAGAAATTGGTGTAAAGCTACAGAGTTGCTTAAGTTGGAGGAAGACCAAACCAAGCTGCTAACTGAGATAAAACGGTCTCGAGAAGAGCTACAGAGCATACAAAGGGAAATTGCAATTTTCCAGACAAAATCTGGAGAGTTGGAGTGCAAGATAAAATCTGTTGAAGGGGAGGTACAGTCTGGCTTGAGAAAAGTGGGGGAGGTGGAGCTTGGACTTTGGAATGTTATCCAAGAGAAGCAAAAGCTTTTAGAGATGGACAATGGGAATACAGAAGTTGACAAAATGCTTCTTGAATACCACCAATCTGTATTTGAATCTGACTTGAAAGAGAATGAAGTAAAGCTAAAGGAAGAAGAACTGCAGATGCAGATACAAAGTCTAGAGGAGTTAAGAGAAGCTAGGTTGAAAGCAACCCATAGGAAGACCCAATTGCTGGGTGATACAACCTGCTGCTCTTGCATGTCAGATGAACACGAGTCAGGTTGCCTGTCCAGAAAGGTAGAAAAGGAGCTCCAAGATGTTCGAATGTCAGTTATAGAAGTGAAGTCATTACTCAGTGATGGTAGGTAGTCAGGTAGATCTTGATCTTTGGAGCAGTGCTACCTATAAATTTCTTTTTTCTTTTTTTTTCAGTCTCTTGTTTGCTGAAAAAACGAAAAAATATGCTAACTATTTTGGGCATTCTAGAATAATGCCCATATTGCTAGATTGAGGATTCCATTTAGATTTGCTGTTTAGTCTATGTAATTTCTGTAAATAATGTTCAATAGTGGATGTTGATCGGAGTGGAAAATTAAGAATAGTAGCCCCTCAAGTTACCAGGCTCAACAAACTTGCTGCTTGTTATGCATATTTAAAAAAAAATATGAATAGTAGATAAGCATATTTATGCATATTTTAAAAAATTTTGACAAATTATTCAAATATATAGCAAAAACCATGGGAATGCTTTATTCATTACTATATTCTTATAATACAGAATATAATTATATTCATAATATGCATACATGTAAAGTATGCTAAGCTTATTGTTCTGTATTTTTTAAAAGAAAAGATCTTTTTATAACAACACGTGTTTGACATTGATAAAAAAATAACACATGTTTAACTTGTTTAACTGGATTTTTTTATGATACCAAAAGAACTTTGACCAATCAGAAACTCCTGTGAATTTTCACACACACACAGAATTCATTTTTTTTTTTTATGAACAATCCAAGGTTAATTTGAGTGAATATTGGCTGATTATTTGTTAATTTGTTTTGATGCCGTAACATGGAACATAATCTCCTTCTCTTAGACATGCATGTAATTAACTTGCATACCTTGGGGGGGACTGCTGATGAGTGATGATCAACTAAGATTGTTTTGCTATAACCTTAAATGGCAGTCCAGAGCATCCATTTTCTCAAAATGGTCATTAGGTTTGGAAGAAAATTCATTTTCTCCCCATTTCTCAGCTCCTTGTGCTCAGGCTTATTTTTTGGTGTTATTTTCCCCTTCATCTGAAGCTTTAATGGCGTCGTGCTCTTAATGATGCCCTTCCCACAATCACAAGAGACACCAATGCCCTTTATGCGGAGCATGCATTTGAAAACCTTATCGGACCAGATGGTTGATTGGTTGACCAGATGCCATTCCCAGTTCTCACAATCTGTTGTATTTCACCCTAAAACCGTTTTGGGGCAAAAAACTGTTTACTTAGTCAGTGACCCATCGACCCAAATGGTTGAATCGTTCGATTAGGATAATGGTTTTTGACTTTTTTATTTTAATTATTTTTATTTTTTAATTAAAATGAGCCATCCGTTTGATCAGATGATTGGACTGTTTGACCGGAAAATCTGTGGGCCAAGGTCCGGTTTTTAAAATCTTAATGCAGAGGATCAGCGGAGAGCATTGATCATGTCCTCTTATACTACCCATCGGTGCAGCCAAATTGCTTTGGATCTATGCTGAACCAGAGATTGGATGGCAACTTCGGGTCGCAGCCTCAGCAAACGGTTGGAAAATGGTGGAGACTTGATAGGACTTCTCACAAAGGACTTCTGTCCCATGGTTCAGTCCTTCATTTGGAGTCAAAACAAGTTGGTGTTCAATCGGGAGCTACATACACCTTAGTCGGGCATAGGTGTATGTAGCTTCTATTGTCAGACATTGCATCATTGCGCTAGGGGTGCCAATTGGACTGGATTTGGTCCAACCTGATCTGGTCCAATGTGAATTTATTACAAATGGATTATGTCCAATTCAATCCAATGAATATTTTGGACCATTTTAGATTGGTTCAATTTGTTCAAATTTGTTTTAATTTAGATTAATTCTAACTTAAACCTGGTCCGTTGACACCTATACTCTTATTTTATATCAATTGACTAGATATTGGCTCAATCCAACCCAATCTAATATAAATTCATTTTGGATGAATCAGGTCCAATCCAATCCAATAATACTTTGAACCATTAAGTATGGACTGATGGTCTAATTCAATATGTCTTGTTGGTCCATCCAATCGGCCCAAATTGATTTTGGTTTGGATGAGGTCCAATCCAAAACCAGTCCATTAACACCCCTAATTGCGCAGGAGTTGACAGGAGAGAATGAACATAATACCCCTTGCACCTGTCCACTAAGCCAGCCCCAGCCACAATCTCTTAAAATTAATAAGGAAAGGGCTAGGGCTACAAGTCCCAATAGTGCAGGAGGGTGGGGATTTTGATCCTTGACCACCATAGCCACCATCTCTCTCAAGGGCTGTTCCACTGCCCAGCTGTTCACCTTTAGAGCAGAGGCTCAAGCATTCTTCCATGATTTGCCCTACGGTTATCTCTTCAAAATGTAGAACTTGAAGGCAATGCTCTGAATATCACTAAGGGTCTGTTTGGTTTACAGGCCTGGAATCAGATTCTGATTCCAACTGTTAGAATGGTCATTTCGTTCCCCTTCCTTTGGGAATGAGAATCCATTCCAATTGATTCCGATTCTTGTTAGAACCAAACAGGTGGAAGGAATAGACCATTCCAATTCCGATTCCGTTTCCAACTGTAAACCAAATGGATCCTAAGCTTTTAATAATGGATCCCATATATCCACTGTGGTGTATCAGCTCCATTATTGCTGATTCCAGAAGTTTCATCAAAAGCCTTTTGTGTAAATCTCCTCAGCTCATCTTTTAGCCAGAACTGTTGTAATTTGTCCTAGAATTTCTACTTGGTGTGTTTGTCTGGACTTTCTTATTTGTATTGTACTATCTGATATTTTTGAGCTGAGATAAATGAATTTTGTGCTTTTTACCTCAAAAAAAAAAAAAGAAAGAGAACTAAAGATGAAGCCGAAAAAAAAACGCAAGAGAATCAAAGAGCAGATCAAATTTATAATTACATTGTTGAACTTATAAATACAAAAGAGCGTTTAAAAAAATAAAATAGGTGGAAAACTATTAGGTTTGGCACTGCCTATCATATCATATCGATACTAAAAAAAAAACCTAAAACAAAGGGGCTGGAACTTGATGCAAAGTTCTAACACATCCCTTCTGATATATTGAGGTGTATCAATACTTTGAACCTTGTTGCAGCCTATTCAACGTTTAAAATTTCGACCAATTGAGAGAGCGGGGAGGGGTTAGAATAGCTTTCTAAATAAGCCTTAAATTGGACTAACCCACATTGATATGATATTTTTTTTGGTGTTTCCTAGAAGCCTTTACTTGTTAGGCAATGTAGATATGGCATGAGTGACAAGGACCACTTCCCTTTTATATTATAATATATAACAGGGGAGATGACCATATGAATCATATAACATGAATGTTCAATCTGTTTATRCTTTTCTAAAGATGGGAATCAAGAAAAACAAGAGTTTGCTTTAGACTAAGACTAGATACACATTGAGATGACCATTTAAGTCATATAGTCCAATTGGTTGTAAAGTTAGCATGAATTGCTTATSTTTCAGAAACTTCAACTAACCACTATGCTCCAAATTCTATAAATTAAGCTTCGTCGTCATTTGGTTGTCCAACTGTGTGTGTGTGAGAGAGAGATATCTAAAATCTGAAAACAAAATTTTGGTTGGTCTAAGCATATGTTGGTACTGTGGTTGCAACACAACCTAAGGAAGTAGGTGAAACCTATAACATGATTTTCTTAATTTCAGAAGTTTTCTTTGAAATGTTGGTTATCAACCTTCTGTCCCTCTTGTTTTCTACAAACAAAAATAGCTTTAATTTCTTTAATTTCTATATATTCTCTCAGTAATCAGTCTTGAGTAAAATCAGTATAAATACATTGTTGCACATATGCATGTGCAAATACATTGGAAGGGATGGCAATTTCTACCCTATTTGGGCGGATTTATTTGCTTGAAAAACATATTTTGGGGTGGGTACGGGCTTTGAGATTTTATAATCTGTAGGGGTATGAGTAAGGTATGGTATTAGGTTATACCCAACCCAACCCTTCTCAACCTGTATATTGTTTGAAGGCATGTAAACTTATGTATTAAGTGTTGAATTTAATAATATTTTGACTTTTATATAGAGAACAATTGATAGTTTATGTGTTTTCTACATTCTTTAATCAAATAATTAGAAATTTTGATGTTTGTTCATGTTATTTTACTTGTTTATTGCTTATATATAACAAAAAAAAAGAAAATTAGAGATGCAACCCAACCCACCAACCACTCCCGATCCTCAAATGCAGAGAGGCTTGGGTCGGAGAGGGAATGTTTTAAGTCTTTTACCTTTTTTTTTTTGAAAAACAAAATCAATCATTTTGTCAAACACTGAATATATATTTTTTGGTAAACAATGAAGAAAAAGGGCCACATAACAAGGAGCTAACCTTCCCCCGAAGCATAGAAAAACATCAAAATATTTTCAAGCCTTGTTCATTTTTTGGATTTTGAAAGGGGAGAAAGTTGATCAATGCGATTTTGGTTCCCATTGACCAAGATACCCATGTTATTCTTTCAGATTTATGTGGGTCCATGGATAATTTATTTTCGTTGTGTATCTCTCCTAGGTGGGTAAATAACTTTCCCACTTAGGGGGAAAGTTACCAACACTTGCATGGAATAAAATTGCCCTTTCTACTAGTGAATTTTCACGGCTAAAAATGGTCATTGACTTATTTACTCGGGAAATAAAAGAACATGGGTAAATGTACTTACCCGGGTATGCATTTCTCAAGAAACTCTTACCCGAATAAGTACATTTACCTGTTATGGGCCCGAGCGTAGGATCGTGTCACGGGTCGTTCCACGGCAGGAACCCCCGATCTTCCCTTGCCTTTGGTCTTACGCACAGACCCTATTTTGCCTATCTAGTGGGTGATTTGTCCAAGAGACCACCCGAACTCTCCCTTGGGGTGATTTGTCCAATAGACCACCCGAACTCTCCTCACTCTTTTCTTGACTGGAAAACTGAATGCTTTATTTCAATTCGTGGCTCCTTAAATAGGAGATTACAGAAGGAAATTCCTAATTAAACTCAAACTCCAACTTGACTCAAACTCCTAATTACCTACTCCTATTGGTAACTCACTCTTACTTAAGATAAGATAAAGATGAGATTAAGATAAAGCTAAGGGATAAGGGATAAGAT